TCAGTCTGTCTGTGCAGTAGTCCTGTTTTCATTAAACACATAAATCATGACATCTTTATTCCACAGATCATTCACTTGATTATTATTGATCAACATCTGTTTCGACTAGCTTTAATCACAAATTAAGTACTTTGATTATTGAAAAGCGTTCTTCTTCTCCTTCTGGCTCTTCTCCTGGAATGTAAACAGTCTGAGGAACACCCGACCTTGGCGTTTTCTACACGGGTGTTACTGTGTACAGGGGCAGCTGTGTGGAGCTGAAAATTATGAACTTCATAACGTTACATATCCCCCCTTTTCAAGGTCAGTGTGGTCCTTCAAGAGACCACTTGGTCGTTGAACAAACCCAAGTTATGAAGAATCTTGACAACAGAACAGGATGCGATCCCAAGGGAACAGCCATCTGTGGTGAGGTACGAACCCCACGCCGAAGAACAGTCTCGCATACTCCTCAGGAAGAACACAAGTCAGCAGGTTATTAATTATTCCCCATGGAAGCCACAATTGAAGAAACAGCAGCTTTATATCCTCACGGGCAAAACAGCAATGAATGAGCAAATCTTGTGTATATCCACGAGCAGGTAATTATTCCAAATATCAAATTGACCTTTGTCTCCACTGGCAGGGTAATATTCTAAATAAAAGATTGACTTTTTTATCCACTGGCAGGGTAATATTCCAAATAAAAATGGAACTCTGCAACAGTACTTATCGTAATCCACAAAAAGGGAAGAGCAGTTGACAGTAATCCCAACGAATGAGTTGTCCCAGCAGCCATGCCGGAACCACAGTCGTCCAAGGCCAACGAGCCGGAGTCCCACCCAGGAGTAGTCGATGCAGATGACGAGTCACGGATCCACCCCCAGGAAGCAGGATCCTCACAAGCTCAGCAGAGGAGAGAGAGCACAGTGCAGGCACTTCAATGTAGACACGACAAAATTGCATTTCATGTCATCAAAGAAATAAAATAAAAACCTAACTCTATTAGTGCCTTTTGTACTATGTGTTAGTTTTATGTGAATTACCCATTAAGTGAAGAAATGGATGCAGCCCTGTCTGTGGTAGATGCAAAAATGGATGATGCGAGAAGCAGAAAAATGAAAGAACCCTAACTGGTATCAGTGAATCCTCACTGTAAATACACGCTGTCAGGACAGGGGCAAAATTGGTTATAGCCCATAAGATAAATCAAAGAATTGATCATCACAAAAGGAATATTCACTCTTAAATCAACTTCAAAGATACTATAAAAAAACAGAAATGTAAATCAGTACTAAAATGTAAATCAGTGGTTAGTAATCATGTTCATGTTAATGTACCCCTAAGGAATTGTGATTAGTAAAGATAAAAAAAACACAAAAGTTTTGGACAACAGTACTATGTGGCCTAACCCACTCACTGTTACCTGGCCGTTTACCTGACTCCAGGAGCCCACAGCACGTCCGTCTCAACACACCTTAAGTCTGCACGTGACGTATAACATGGAAGACAACCATGCACTCTCACAAACAAACAAATTTATGTAATCAGAGAAAGAAATCTGTGGAACCAACCAACGGGACGTATTTATCACCCCCCTTTTGAAGGCGGTGGATTGTTGTTGTCGGTATCGGCCAAATCTGTGGGACCCTTGTGCAGTTTGATATGGTCCCTGTGTACCCATTTGTAGACGGGCGCCTTGTTTTTGTCGGCGATCTTGATCTGATACACGACCGGAGCGATCTTATCTGTAATCAGGTATGGACCCGACCATTTGGGCAAAAGTTTCTTAGCCAGCTTCCCCGAGGTCGCATTATTGTTACCCGTTTTGGGAGCGAAAATGTAGTACCAGGCCTGATCACCTACATCGAGTTCGGAATGCAAGGCTTTCTTATCGTAATAAGACTTCCTGCCTTCAGCCGACTTTCCCAGAGATGCCTGTGCGAACGAGAATGCTGCAAGCAGGTGAGTTCTCAGGTCCTGCAAGTATTGGCCGCTCGTACAAGCCGGGGCTGTGTCGGACCGAACCCGTCGTTGATACAGCAGGTGAAGCGGTAGGGTCATTTGTCTGCCCGTCATCATTTCAAACGGGGAGACACCTGTAGACTCATGGGGGGTAGCCCGTATGGCCATGAGGACCAACGGAAGTTTCACATCCCAATCTCGGTGGTCGTGGTTTACAAGAGCCTGAGGGGGCCTGGCTGGCGGGACTGACGCGATGGCGTCGTCCGAGCAGTGTTGGCACGTAGCCAAACCCATGCCAAGAGGGCTACGTTAAAATATCCTGATTGCAATAATCTTTGTCTTTCCACCATGTGGGCAGGTAAACACCTTCCCAGCTACATTGATGGCCAGAAACTCAGCTTTGAAACTCGACTTCCGCCAGAGAACTTCCTTAACGGTCATCTCAACAACTTGACAGACCCACTTGCCACTCAAGGTAAAGATGTGGGAACATCTGGGTCTCTCAAACCCTTGTGGCCCCCTGATGATGCATCCATCTTTCAACCATCTGATGGGTTTGTGTCTGTTCAACTTGCCTTTTCTGAAAATGACCTTGCAGTCTTCAGTTCCAGGACGCTGCTATCAGCAGGATGATTTTGCACCTTTCTGATCCAAAAGCTCCTCAACATCTTTCTCTGGTGTTTGACTCCGTTCCTGAGCTGTGTGCTCTCTCTTGTGTTCATGTCACTCCTCTTTCAGGTGTTGTTGACCACAACGGCGCCGGACTGACCGGGGAATCCAGTACCTCTAAGATAATTGATGTCCACAGAGCCTGTGAGGTCCCTGCAGCAGAACCACTCCTACCTGAGTTGGGAAAGCCACCTGACCCAGGGGAAGCTGATGCTTGCAGCGACGCTCCGCCTGAGACTCCACACCCTGCAGTGGGGACACCACCTGCTGCAGAGAGAGTTGATGGTGGCACTGAGACTCCAGCTGAAGCCCAGTACTCTGTGGTGGGAACACCACCTACCAAGAGGGGGGCCGATGCCATCACTGACCTTACTCCACTGCAGCTGGCGCTGATGACCTCTAAATCTCAGGTGGGTGACTTACCTACCAAAGGGGGGGTCGGATGTTGCCCTGTACCTCTACTGGCTGACCCTGATCTCTCTGATCGCACCTGTGTGTCGACCGGGGGTCCTCCAGAGAGCACATCTGTTCCGCACCCTCGTAAGGCACCTGCACCTGTCTATAGCCTAAATCATTCTTGGTTTCAGTCTTCAGAACAGACAATGCTTCTCTTGCTAGTCACATGTCTCTGTCTGGTCCTAAACGTGGCTGTGCTCCATCCACAGCCTCCTCTGATACGACCGTATGAGCCGGGGTCCTCTTCAGGTGTCTCACTCCGAGGACTACCAGATCTCTTGATGTCCAACCATCACCTGCTGTTCCAGCCAGTTCAGTCTGGTGGTGCTGTGGCTTTCGCTAGTGAGCGGGCTTTGCAGAGCCTTAACAGCAATCTGCATGCTGTCTTTTCTGTTCCACAGACATGTCTGAAGAAACAAGCAGGGGGCAGTATGACTCCTCATGATCTGAGGGCCTCTCATTCTGACCTCAATTTTGCTTCTAATTCTGGTCACACAAAAGTCACCTCTGGTAAACTGGTTAATAACCTTTCGCAGGAAAGGTCAGGTCCGTACCTGACAACTAAACCACTCTCTCCGGTCATGTATCTGATCAAGATCACCAAAGGTAACAAAGTTCCCATCTATTTATGGGTCCGCAAGAACAAAATCAAACCTCACAAAGGTTTCACTAATTTGGATGTTATTATCACCAATATAGCTGACTACCCAACTCGAATCGTGCCAAAAGGGGGGTGAACTTCCGTCCGCTCTCGCTGGGTTCTCTGATTCAGGTCACGTAAGTCCTGGTGAGTGTATGTATGTGCGTGAATGAATTTCATGTCTAAACATATACAGACTTGGTTGATCTTGGATGTGGTCATGCTGTGGTATTCCGTAATCATATGATTTATGATCATAACAGTTCAAAGTGAGTAACTCCACTACCTGTTATGTTTTGCCAAACTCAGTATTCTTTACTTTTCAAATTCTAGTGATTTTGATAACTTTTGAAGTTTAATCTTATGATAACTGATTTCAGTTTATTTTTATGCTTCAGTTTTACTAATCCTGAGTCACATGTAGGGATTACTAACTTCACTCATTTATATTTTTAGTGCTCTTTGACACTCACATATCAATCTTTTTATAGACTTTTATTACAGTGATTAAGTTTTGAGAACTTTATGATTAACTTTGTTAATTTACCTTAATGGGCTACAACCAATTTTGGCCCTTCATTTTGATAAGGAATTTAATTAGTGCAGTGATTTCTCCCATATGCAGTATAGGGTTTTATTAATTTTAATCTTTTTGCACCACTGTTTCCATTACGTGTAGGTATTGCATGCATTTCTTCACTTAAAATGGTAATTCACATAATTGCTCCACCTCGAACATGCAGGTACTCACAATGCCAGATTTATTTTTGTTTGTTGATTTGCATCAGACACTCACATGCTGTGTCTGCTCCTCTCCTCTCCTGAGCTTCACCATTGGTCTTCGCTACCTGGGGAACCTCTACGCCTGATGCTGCCTGCTGCCTGGAGCTCTGGTTCGTGGTTCTGGACGTCCTGATCCTGCTGCGCTGATGGGTTGTCTGAAAGTCATCTGGGACCTGATCCTGCTGGCTGGTCGTCCTTCTACATCCTGGTCTGCGCTGTGTGGGAACACAGGCTTCTTTGTCCTTTGCAATTACTAATTATTAATGATCAATGATCAACTGCTATTGAAATAGCTACCTTCACAAGGATATGCTTTACAATGATCTACATTTTGTTGACTTAACCAACTTCCTCAGGATGTGATCCTGTCTGTTCACCTGCATGGGGGAATGCTTCCTCACTCCTTCTGCCTTCATCTGGAACATCGCATCAGCCTTTGCTCAAAGGAGTCCTTCATATCTCTGATTGTTCAACATCAGGTGGTTTCTGCGACCACCAGCCATTGACCATGGGGGGTCTGTAGTGACATGAATGGCCTCATTTGTGACCCAAAGGTCACACTTCCTCAGCTGGGTCAAGCTGTCCTGGCTGCACTTCTGTTTACAGATTATCCATCACAGGAGACACAAAGTCTGCTGTAAACCATCTTTAATCTGACTGCTATTCCATCCACAAGACGGACACTTCAAGATTTAAAAGAATCATTTTTTAATAAACTCTTTTCACTGTCTATTACAATGTTCATAAATAATCATCATGGTTCATTATAAATGTATTTAATAACTGAAATGACGTATTATTCTTTGGTTAATAATAATTATTATTTATGATAATCAGTAATGTTAAACAGTGTAAAGAAGGTCATGTTCACTTATACACATCATGCAGGGCACAGACATAAGGGTAAAGGTAACTGCTCTCACATGTCTGTGTTCCATAACCAAAGCTTTCTATCTCTGAGAAGGTGTGTCCTGAGGTTTAATAAAACCAAAACTCCTCAGTTCAAACTCAGTTCGAAGCTCACCAAAATCTCTCCGTGGCACGAGAGTCCCAGAGGATTGAGTCGGCCGCTCGAAGCCTCCACTAAGCTGTTCTGTCACGCCGATAAAATTGCTCCAACAAACGCCATCTGCAACCAGCTGACACAAACTCCTTCAGAGTTAATTTAAGACGCAAACTCAACACCTGTGTGCCTGCGGCAACTCTAGGACCAGAGTCGGTACCACTCAGGTCTTCCCTACCGGACCGAGTACCCAGAGGCTGACAATATCCTCCCTTGACCTCCGGATCCACACAGAGGGTCTTCTGAACGGTGAGGTAGAAAACAGATTGCGTCTGTATGCTGTTCCCCTTAAGAAATACTCTAGTTAGCTGCAAAACAACTCTTTCACCCAGAACGCATTTTCTGTCTCTGAAAGAAACCTTCTGAGATTTCATTCACACATCCAAACACACGCATCTCATTTTAGCTCTCATCCAGACACAGGTTGCTTTTAATACCAAGTTTTAATATCAAAGCTGTTATAAATTGTCTTTTAAATTGTCATCTTTAAATTGTTAGTAATAAATTCTTAACTTTTAAAACCTGACTCTTCTTTGAAATGAAACACAGATTGGTGTATATTTGGTTGTTGAACAAGCAAATATTCCTTTAAATCTTCTGATTTAATAAATAAACTTTTGCCATTAATTAAATCTGTTAAATTAAATATTAATCTTTGGATTAAATATAGACCAAACCAGTTGGTGTATGAACTTCTATAGATTATATAAATATCCGTGGATATCTATGTAAATATAAGTTCATATGCTAATTTGTTTGATCTTTCACAGAATCTAACAAAGCTGAAGAACACAGTGTTAAATTCTAGTGTGTAGATAAACTACACTACAGTAGCTATGTAAAACAGAGGTTTATGAGGACAACCAAGGTACCATAGCGCTTGCAAAGAACCCTGTAAATAGGCAAAGATGCAAGCACATTGACATCAAGTACCATTTCATCAGAGAGGTTGTGACGGGTGGTAAGGTTCTGTTAAACTATTGTCCAACAGGGGAAATGACTGCTGATGTGATAACTAAACCAGCAACAAGGTTTAAGATGCAGAAATTTTCTCTGTGTTTATTTGGTGTTTAATATGGGGTGGTTGATTCATTTTGTAAAAACATGAGCTAAGTTTGGGGGGGGGGGGGGTTACGTGTAAGTGTTGAAGTACGCCGTTACTCATTGTATTACTCCTTGCATGGTGGCATAGTTGTTAGCACTGTTGCCTCGCAGCATGAAGGTTACAGATTCTAAACTCGGGTTTCCTCCGGGCACTCCGGTTTCCTCTACACATCACAACATGCCCTATAGGTTTACAATTGTACATCGCTTTGGATGAAAGTGTCTGCCAAATAAATAAACAGAAGCATTAACATAAACGTAACCATCCAATTAAAAATCCAACACTGGTTTCAGCCACGTTTCCTGTACACAAATAACATCCGGCAGCACATCCATAACCTCTATCACCCTCTTAAACTCCTGACCATTGGATACCAGACCTCTGGCATTCCACTGCAGAACTCAAAATTCCATTATCTAGGGTCAGTCCTCCACCAGTCCCCCACCCACTTCAGGTGCTCCATCACCATCCACCACCAAAACCGCACCTCAACTTCCCCCATTCCCAGGATCATCCATCACCCGCAAACAAGCAGTCTCCTAAAACCTCTCTGGGATCCACACCAGAAAAGCCCAAAAGCTGTCCAGCCACAGCCGAGTCTTCGCACCCCACATCCAACTTGTTTGTCGCTACAGTCTTCACCCTCCACAAAAAAAAAAGCATCCCATCTCCCACCACCAGCTTCCAACACCTCCCTGTTCCCAATCATCGGAACCACACCACCCGCTCCCGCCTTCCGAGCAACCATACCATACCACTGCCATCCTTCAACCAACGCACCGCTTCAGCATTGGAAACCTTATGATCCAACCTTTAGGCCTCGTCCCTGCCTCTCGATAAAATACACAGCCCCCAAAAAGTAGCCTGGTCACCGCCCCCACAGTTGGAGCACCGGAAGGCTTCCACACAATGAAGACCATCACGATTGCCCCCACATCTCCTACGCCTCCTACCCTATACGCAGACTCCCGCCACATGGCCAAACTTCTGACACTGAAAACACCTCAATGGTGCCCTCTCAAAAGCCCTGACAGTGTAGCTGACATAGCCCAACATAACTCGATCAACCAACTCAGCATCGCTAAAAGTCAGCAACAAAGATTTTGATCCTTGGGCATTGTAGCCCAGTTGCTGCACAACCATGACAGTAACGCCTTTCAGATAATGAAGCACCTCCAACTCGGGGACTTCATTCGGAATACCATACGCCACCCCTTTAACTCCAGTCTCAGCATGCGGCACAAGCACTTCGAACCCCAAATCTACAAACCGCTTAAGCTTGAGTGCCTTATCCAACTGCACCCCAACACACTACAGACCATATCTCACCAGGTAAGACAGAACCATCCACCGCATCCCCTATCCTATCCTTCAACTCCTTAGACAGCCGTAGCAGGCTGACGGAAGCAAAACCTCCCCCGCTTGTTGCCTGCAAGCAGTGATGCAAAAAGTGGGTATGCAGTGTATATGCAGTGTTGGGAACATTACTTTAAAAAGTAATTAACTATAGTTACTGATTACTTTGTCAAAAAAGTAACTCAGTTACTAACTGAGTTACAAGATTATAAAAGTAACTAATTTCCAAGAAACATAACTACTTAGTTACTTTTTTCATTAAAGTATGCAAGAATTACTACAATAGTGAAATATAAATGATTAATGACTGGAACATAATAAAATGTATGTCCAAATGTTTTTTATAAACCTGAATAATTTAAATAAATAAGCACTTAACAGGAGGAACGACTAACAGGAGCATTACACTTATCTAGACTATTAAAAGGTCACTGTGTGATATTTAACAAGACCCCAATCAGCTAAAATTTATAATTGCAAATAGAAACACCTGTAAAGGTTCCTGAGCCTTTAAATGGTCTCTCAGTCTAGTTAAATTACAGAAATAAATGTAATATTGCACAGTATTCTAATTTTTCCAGCTTCACATAATTGTGTGTTTTTAGTAGCATTTCTGTAGCTGCTAATCTAGTAATGGTTACATAAATAAATAAAATCCTTTAAAATGACACTAGAAGAGGCACAAGCCTGATGGAGGACTTACATTTACTAACTTGGGGTCAGACCCAACCACAGAAGAGCTGAAGCTGGGTGGTAAACACACACAGGTAGTTCTAATAACACCTGAGCTCCATGACGTCTGAGACTGATGCATCAGTGTTACAGCGGGACCAAAGACATGATCAGAAACAGGTTACAGCTGGATGATCTAGGAAGGTCAAAGATCAGGACATCTGAGCGGTGAACAGGTGAGCGGACCTTCGGGACATCCCGCTGTCACACTAAGAAGGGCACGGCTGCAGACCCGCAGATTCGCTGCTGCAGCAATTAATCTGCGGGTCTGCAGCCGTAGATATTCATCACGTCTTCCTCGTTCTTCACGGGCCGTGATGCGCTTGGATGAAAACATCTGCCTCTTTAGCTTCAACACACCGCGCTGCTTAACGCACGCATTTCCTTTTCAGTAACAGAAACGACGTTTTGATAAAAGAAGACGGTAATTAATTAGTTTGTTCGTTACAGAAAGAAATATTTTTTTATTAACGTGGTTATTTTAAAGGGCGTTATTCCCATCACTGCTCTGTTGTGTCTACAGCATGCAGTGACTGAGACAGTGAGGGTCTCCGCCCACCCGGCCAATCATCATCGTGTTTGTAAGTGCGTTACCGACACCTCTCTCTCCCTGGCTGCAGCTGAAGTGTGGCAGTCAGAAAGCCTCACACTGTTGCTCAACGTTCGACAAGCACATAGTAACGCACAGCCTTCCGTCCCCAGTAACGGTAACGGCGTTGCAACAGTGGGAAAAGTAATTAATTAGATTATTCCGTTACCTAAAAAAGAATGCCGTTAGTAACGCTGTTATATTTAAACGGCGTTACTCCCAACACTGTGTATACGCCAGGCTGGAGGGGGCGCCAAAGCGTTGAGGCAAAAGGATTTTAATTAGCATTTCCTTTGTTTAATAACAGCTGTGTTTTGTCGGGGGTAACCGGGACCAGACTGGTGGGCTGGTCTGGTCATTGTTTTTTTTTTTTGTTACTCTTTATTAATGTTTCTTTTTCTAACGTACAAACAAATTACAAAGAAAGCCCCCATAAAACAAATACTGAACAGGTGGGGGTCAACTCCTTACTGCAGGAGTGCTCATCTTGTTAATCTTTCTCTTCCGTGGGAACATGTCTATGCTTCACCTATTAGTCCATCTTATACTCAGTCGGTTGGCAAGGCTTATACGCAGTCCATTACTTCCAGCGGATTGAAAACTTTCCCATTTGCAGTCTCATATAGTGGGTCATTTTCTCCATGATAAAGATTTCCTCCAACAGCTTCCACCAGTGCTCAAGCCTCGGGGGATCACTCTTCAACCAGTTCCTTGTTATCACCCTCTTACATGCCACTGTCATCACTTTGAACAGGTATGAGTCCCCGTCATGAATACATCCCGCCGGCCATAGCCCCAGATACAGCAATATTGTCTGTAATGATTTTATAATTCAAAATGTCCTCAAATATTTTTACCATGTTTTCCCAAAATGGTTGAACCTTTCCACATCGCCAGAAGATGTGAGAGTGATTGGCGTTCATGTGGCCACAAAGCCTCCAACATTGTTGAGGCTGCCCCGTCCATTTACTTTTAAGTTGCAGTGTGATGAAGAATCTCACGAGGTTCTTCCATCCACATTCCCTCCACTGTCGTGAACTAGTTGAAGTATGTTGCACTCGGCACATCGAGTGCCACTCATCCTGTGATATCTCTATTTGCAGTTCTGATTCCCACTTTTTTTAATGTGTTGAGAGTCATTTCCATTCCATCTTTGCAAACATTTGTATATCTTTGAAACGACCTTCGTGGGTAACATTTTATGAGTACCTGTAATCAATATTATTAACTCATTCCCCTCCTGAGATAATGAATTTCTTATCTCTGAATTGTAGAAATGTCTCAATTGTAAATATCTGAAGAAATCACTGTTATTCAGATCAAATTCCCTTTTCAGTTTGTTAAATGTTTTAAATTCTCCCCCCTCTGTTAGCACGTGCACTGCTGTGATTCCCCTATCTCTCCACTTCTCAAAGGTGTTATCCAACTTGCCGGCTCCAAAACTTGGGGAGTATGATGGCCAAACCAATTCCTTGTTATCTCCCCCCATTTTGTATTTGATAATCGTATCCCACCAAATCTTTAATGTTTTGGATATTATGTGATTTTGACTGCTAGAATTTGTGGAGGTCTTCTCTCCTAGTTTTGTTTGTGGGGGGTTGCGTGTCGTAATTGAGCTCTATTTTCTTCCATTTGGCCTGGTATTCTGTGGAGCACCAACATACTATTTATCTGATCTGTGCTGCTAAATAGTATTCCCTTAGATTTGGGACAGCCAGCCCTCCCTCATCTTTCCTTAGTTGAAGCGTTTTCAAATGTATCCTCGGTTTCGACCCTTTCCAGATAAAATTGCTCATTTGTTTTTCCCACTTGGTAAATTGGACATTTGGAATGATTACCGGGACAGAGAGAAATAAATACATTACCCTTGGAAGTACATTCGATTTTAGCACTTCAATTCGCGAGCTGATGTCTAACCCCAGGGTCTTCCATTTTCTTAGGTCTTTAAGTATCATGCTATTTAAGTCCTTATAATTAATCTCATATTGTGTGTTTAGGTCTCGTGTTAGGTAAATCCCTAGGTATTTCATTTAGTCTGCATCCCAGTTGAGTTTGAATTCCTGTCTGAATGATTGTGAGGGCCTGAAGTGCATAGTCAGTATTTGGGTTTTTGTGATATTGAGTTTGTATCCCGATTTACCGCCAAAATCTTTTAGGGCTGCCATAAGCTTTGTGAAAGAGGTGTCCGGGTTTTGAAGATATATTATCACGTTGTCCGCATAGAGTCCTATTTTATGTTCATTCTGTGCTATCGTCACCCCCTTCAGCTCATCATTCTCTCTTATGTGTTGGGCCAGCGGTTCAATGAACAACGCAAAAAGATAAGGGCTCAGACAGCAGCCCTGCCACGTTCCCCTGAAGAGTTCGAATCTATCCGAGAGGTTCCCATTTATTTTGATTGTTGCCTTTGGCCTGTTATATAATGCTTTTATGCAATTTATAAAATGTCATTAAAGCCCATTCTTTTCAGAACCGCAAACAGGAAGGCCCAGCTAACCCTGTCAAAAGCCTTCTCCGCGTCTAAACTTATTAGCGCTGTGGGAGTTTTATGTTTATTGACCTCGCTGATTACATGTAATGTGCGTCTTATATTGTCCTGAGTCTGTCGCCCTTTTATGAACCCCTTCTGGTCTTCGTCTATCAGATCCGGGAGGAAGAGTTCCAATCTTCTGGAGATTATGGATGTGAATAATTTGTAGTCCACATTTAAAATCGAAATGGGGCGATAAGAGTTACAATATTCCTTATTTTTCACTTCTTTTGGCAGGACCGTAATTATAGCCTCTTTCCACGACATAGGGCTTTTAGCATTCTTTAGCGTCCAATTGAATGAGTCTAATAGCTGTGGGGTAAGTTCCTCTTTGAAAATCTTGTACCATTCATTTGGATAGCCATCGCTTCCTGGGCTTTTGTTTGATTTCAGCCTGTTAATAGCTCTATCTAGTTCACCCTTAGTAATTGGTGCATTTAAGATTCCATTCTGAAATGTTACAATGGAGGGGCGATCGAGTTTTTCCAAATATTCTTCTATTTCTTTGTTGTTGGTCGTTTCGGGCTTCAAATATAGTGTCTTGTAATAATCTAGTAATATGTTTAATATATTGTTTGGGTCGTAGCTTAAGTTTTTA